GGATGCCCTCTTCTCCCAGTAGGTCAGTCGTCATCCAACTCAAGGGCAATTCCCCTGATAAATATTCAAATTAATTGGGGGGGCTTTCATTGATCTATCTGAATTCCCTAATCCACTTCACCACCGCAAAACTAAAAAGGAGGGTCAGCACCAGGGAAAAATACATTGGCTAGGACTGGGACCAGACCACTTCTTTCAGCAGTAGCCTTAGCTTAAAAGGACTGTAAGCCTACAGCAACAGTACATACCTTCAACAGCATTGAGATACATAATAACCCCATTTTATAAATAATAGGCTGGAACTAATATTATCTAAGTGGCAAAACTCCCACTAACTTCTATAAGAGCAAGAATGGACTAAATGTTGTTGACAGTTACACAACAAAACTCCACGACTCAAACACAAAAACTAGGAAGAAGTCTGCCAATACAACATCTTCATATTTATATTATTTCGGTTTTGCTGCAGAAAACAGTACATAGAAACCAGAGACTGTTCCTTTCTTGAGGAGACATTTCAGATAGGCTGCATTCTGGGGTTGGTTCTACTTGCCAAGATTTCTTCAAACTGAAAGGGCAGGGTCACGGGGGGGGGGAGGGAATAATTATATTTTAAAACACATACAAAAACCATCAAATTTCTGCTACTTTATGGTTAAACATCTGCTAAACTACTACTCTCCTTCAATTATGGGATCCTCAAAGCAACAATTATATCTGTTTTCCTCAGAATTTGGGGGATATAATCAGTACCACCAGAAATCAACACAGTCTCTATATATGTATGTTTTGCCAATGTTGAAACACTGGAAACGAGACAAGGACATTGACTAAATATGGTAAAACTCCAGTTTGCCAGGTCCGTCAACTAAGCACTTTCTAACATTCAATCCTGTTTGTTACCTAGAAATCCTTTTCTTCAAAGTCATGACCATTTTAAATCTCTGCTGACTTCTGGTAATCCAGATCACTCTGTATTTCAGGTTTTTTCCTTTCCCTGTCACTAAGAGAGGCATGCAAGTTACTCCCTCCTTGTAAGGAGATAAAAAGAAGTAAAAACTTTCTCTTTGACCCAACACCTTCAAATCTCAGAATACTGAAAAAATTTCCTCTTCAATAAAAAAACCTAACCCTAACCTCTTCTGTGCTGCCCCTTTTTGCTGTGTAAATCAGACTGAATCTGGAAACTTGACATCCTGGCATGCAGCCTAGTCCTGAAGAAGAAAATAGGGAAATGTAGATTTTATCCGTAAGATCACAAAGTACTGAAAAGCCTCCTGCACATCATCAGAACCAACTAGCTCTATGCCAAACTCATATCTGAACCAAAGTAGGCAAATCCAAGCAAATCCAATAAACAGGTGAAGCTTTGTCCACGTCCCATGAGACTTTCAACCCCATAGGCATGGGTTAGATAGTAGAACTACAAGAGACCTTCCTTGTATCCTAAAGTCAATACTGGCTCAGGCTCCATGGATAAACTATTGCTATTATTTAGGGCTTCCTGATCCTGTCCCAGAGGATCATGGATTTTTTTTCCACACCTGCATGATGTGATGCATGCTGAAATTGAAAGCGAGCAGCCTCAGCATGTGCTCTGGCCATTGGGTCACTCTTAGGAAACACTGGTCTGAATTTCCACAGGCAGAAGGGAAAATAAACCCTGAACTTCCAGCATTCAAAGCCAGATTTCTAACTGCTGTTAGGTTATTCCCATGTTAATAAAGAAACCTTCAGAGCACTAGCTCAGGTGTCTGAGTTCCAGGAGTTGCTCTGAGGGCACCAGCAGTTCAGTAAGCCCAACATGTAGCACTAAGCACATCCAAAGAGAAGCAACGTTTTAAGTATCTGCCACTGCTTCCTATTTTCTTGGCTCATCTGGTGTCAAGCCTGGGGGCACATAATGGGAAGGGAGGAACACAGGACACAACTGAGAGGATGAGAATGCAAGAAATGGTCTCCTGTACACCCTGCTGGGGATGGCGAGTCACCCCCTCTCATCTTAACCCCATCTCCAGACTTTAAAAGATCATAAGTCCAGCCAGTGCTGTCCTCTGGATCTGAGTAGGCATCAATAATATAGAGGAAGGGATTTCTTTGAGCTCTACAGAGACAGAGGTTTAACTAAGGGGTCCAAAACATATTCTGATTTAAAACATACAATAATTATCAAGCTAATACCAAACACCTTCAGAGATCACCTGCACAGTCCACTTTAGAAGCAGCTCTGAGGGTGTCTCTAAAGACAATGGCCATTGGTGGCTCACCAATGAAAACTGAAAGCCAGTCCTCAGCCTTTAACACATCCCTCTGGCAAAGCTCAACATGGCAGCAGTCAATGTCCCTGGTTGATCCCGTGCAACAACAGCAGCACAATGCCAGGAGAATCAGCATCAAGCATCTCATACTGAGCTGCCTTACTTTGATTACAAGATGACTCACGCTCCCACAGCTTTTTGGCTGAAACAAGACAAAACAGAACAGACAATATTCCCTTGCTAAGGGAAATTGCTCAAATATTTCTGATGTGATCTAGGCCAACTGCCTATCCCTTTCTCTCAGGAATAGGGCTTGGTGACAATTGCTGTTTAGAGCAGAGGGAGCAGACCTAGGAATGAGTTCCTCAGAAGTGATGAGGCAGTGGTTTTAACAGTCTAACCACAAATTTCTTTCTGCGCGTGGGCTAAGTGTGGGGTTTAGGACACCACTTTTCTGAGCAGCACACCTTGCAATTCTCTTGCCCAGAGAGGCTGGTGACAAGTGGCTCTCACCAGACTTCCGTCAGCCAGGCAGCTGGTCCAGCAAGCAGAAGAATGATAGCCAAGAGCTCATGAGGGACCAGCTCCATAACCTGCCTCAAGGACAACCTGTCACAGAGCATGATGAAATCAGCAGAAATCTTAACAGCCATGAACAGTTGAATAGATTTAAAATCAGAAGGCAATTTAATCAAAATGATAACCATACGTAAAAAACTGCCTGCCCTTCTGTGAGAGATCTCACTGCCATGCAGTCTTCCAGCAACAACACATACACCTCTTCAGAAGAAACACATACACCTTTTCAGAAGAAAGTAAATGATTATGAAGACTACGGGTCCTGAAGGAGCTTCAGATACTGGAAGGCTGCTATGAAGTCTCCACACCAACACTGAGCCACTGACCACAACTCTTTGCGTGCGGCCATCCAGCCAAATCTCCTACCAACTGTGTCCATGACCTACGAACTGATGGACAGGGGTAGAGCAGCTGTTGTCATCTATCTGGACTTGTGCAAAGCGTTCGACACTGTCCCACATGACATCCTTGTCTCTAAATTGAAGAGACATCAATTTGATGAATGGACCACTCGGTGGATAAAGATGTGGCTGGATGGCCGCATGCAAAGAGTTGTGGTCAGCTGCTTTACCCCGTCCATCAGTTCTGTAGCCCCATCATAGAAGGCCACAAAATTGGTCAGGCAGGATTTCCCTTTAGTGAAGCCATGCTGCTGTCACCAAGCACCTTGTTATTTTTCATGTGCCTTAGCATGCCTTCCAGGAGAACCTGCTCCAAGATTTTGCCAGGCACAGAGGTGAGACTGACTGGTCTGTAATTCCCCGGGTCACCCATTTTCCCCTTCTTGAAAATGGGGGTTGTATTTCCCTTTTTCCAGTCGTTGGGAACTTCACCTGACTGCCATGATTTTTCGAATATGATGGACAGTGGCTTACCAACTTCATTTGCCAGCTCCTTCAGGACCTGCGGATGGATTTCATCAGGTCCTATGGATTTGTGCATGTTCAAGTTCTTTAGATGGTCTCGAATCAGATCCTCTCCTACAGTGGGCTTAGGGTCTTCATTCTCACAGTCCCTGCGTCTGCCTTTCAAGACTTGGGTGGTGTGGTCAGAGCATTTGCCAGTGAAGACTTGAGGCAAAGAAGTCAGTAAGAACCTCAGCCTTCTCCAAATGCAAATTTTGAATGGCTATATAATTTTTCTAAACAAAACAGCTTTTACATATTATTTGTTTCATTTCAGACAGAAAGCTCACTATCACAAAAATTTACAATTCATAAAAGTAATTATTACTATCATGTTATCTTCTACTTCCTAAACCAAATATATTTATATTTTCTCATAAAGGAATAACAATGCTTTTGAGTGTTCTAGGGATAAGCCTATTGTTACTTACAAAGAGCAGTCACAGAAGGTTGTCTTCCAGCCTTTACACAGAAAGTCCCACATCAATTTGTACAAGAAGAAAATCTTATAAATAATTCCCTTTGCAAGCAAGCAAGCTAATATTTTGGGGCTCAAAACACCTTAATTTTGCTGAGCCCAGCTAAAGATCATTCTTGTTCCCAAAGCAACGTATCACACATGATCCACTACAAGGCAACATGCAGCTCAGTAACAGGTGAGTACCGAAGACTTTTCCAAGCTTAGCATGAGACAAGGGAACAAAAGGACACACAGACACCAATTGCCATGCTGAGGGGCTGGCATTTCCAACCTCAGCATGAAAGTCTCCTCATCCTGCTGTCTTGTTTTTTGCCAGAGTGAAGTGCTGTGCCTGGCAGGATAGGGCACAGCAAAACGAACAGAAATCATGGATCAACTCAGTGCCCCATGGAGAACTTCTCTGGCCAACATGAAAAAGAAGGGCTGGAAAATCCCAGATTAAAAGAACATATTCCCACCAGCCTCAATGCAGAGCAGAATCACTGCAAGCAGAATCATTGCAAGAGGTTAAGGAGTGTTAAACAAAAGGGTATAGATTTAATGGAGAGTTCAGGAGTCAACTCTGATTTTACAGGCTGGTTCAACCAAACTGAGTTAAACCAAACTGCATAATTCAGAACCATGTCATACAGAGAAGTCCCAGAAAAACAGCATCTTGTCTTGCAGAACTACAGCATGAAGAATACTTCAGTTTCACCACTGAGGGAAGTAGTTAAATATATTGTACAGTTTGACATTAAAAAGTAAATGATACTTAATTCCAAAAGGAAGAGTTACCTTCTGGAGGAGTTCCAACACTGTTCCCAAGACCCAAAATAGCAATGTTGTGATTCCTTGGTTCCAACATCATTGCAAACTCTTCTCCTCTTTCCCAGTGTGGTACTTTCACAGGCTCCAGATGCACATTTTCCAGCCCATCTTCCCGTAGGGCACTGAACATATACTTAATGGCTGCATCTAGATTTTTCATACCACTTAGTCTAGGTCCTATGGTATCAGCAAAAACTGCTAATCTTTCATAGGATCTGTTCTGAGCTTTTCCATGAACAGCAAGATCAATAATAGCTTTAGCAATATCAGTATAGCCAGCTATCTCATTTTTAATGTCTTCAAACGTCTTTGGGTAACTGCCATCTCTTCTCAAAGACTTCCCAGCATACAGTGATAATAAATTCATTAAAAATATTAAGAATACACACTTCATTTTTTCTTTTTTTTTTCTTCTGTCCCACAGATGGCCTGTTAGAAAGACAAAAACAAACAAAAAAATTAAAAGGATATAAACCCCCCCTCATACAGCTATCAGCAGTGCTCTTTGTTACTAGACTGGCAGACAGAACAAAATTAAAAGAAATCAGTTTATCATGAAAATGCTTTGATCAGAACTGGCAGGAAAGAAAACTCAACTTGGAGACACAATTATTGAAAGCAAATGAAAAAGATACTTAGGCCACTGGGCACAATCTTTGTTGTGGTCTTCAGAAACATCCTTGGAATGCTGCACCTCTTTAAATAATCTCATCCTTTACTAAATCAAAATCCAGGGCTGCTCCCATCCAGGAGGAGCTTTGCATCTCCTTTCTGTTAGCAGCAGAATTTGCCAGAAGTGCCAAATCAAATATCTTCACACAAAACATCTGGACAAAACCATTTCTTGAACCATTCAGGAATAAAAGTGCTCCTTAATCTCTATCTTCATAATCAGGAAAGCAGTTTCTATTGGACTAGAAAGATGACAGAGCAACTTAGATCCAATGCCCCCAGGAAGAAAATACTAATTTCTTCATTGTAGAAATCTGTGACTATCAGAAAAACACAGTTTCTTATTAACTGGTGTATCTCTTAAGGACTGACTTCATCAGCATTGTAGAGAGATGCAGTGCCAGAGGTACTGATCCTGGGTTAAATACCAAGAGTTATCTTTCTTTAACGCTTAATAGTTTATCCATCTTATTGTTTAAAGTCCTCATTTTTAAGATCTTACAAAGCAATAGTTTGTTCTATACTGTTAATTGAACTGATATAAACCCTCTGGAATAGTAGCTGCAAAGCTCTTTTGTAACATAGGAAATACGACTATCTAAGTCCAAAATATAAAGGTCTTTATTGATATACACAAAAGGAAATGTAATTGGTTTATTTTCCTTTGAATTTTAATCAGGCTGCAATGTGAATGATAAAAATTAGCAGTAAGAAATAAGGCCTTTAAATCAGCTCTATAGCTGCAGCTATTATAAGACTTAAAAAAAAAAAAAAGTAATTAGTTACAGCCAAGTGAACTGACAATTACTGCTAGCCCCAAAATATTCAGATCCAGCACTTTTACCATGTTCACAGACTTTTCATGGGAATACCAGTATTTTTGAAAAAGAATGCAACTTGCCTCAAAAAACAGTTACACTAAAGGCAAATGCTAGCCTCTACAAAATATGTTTTACTAGAAAACAGCTGTTCTACAGAAGTCAAAAGACTAATTTATTGACTAATACACCTTCCATTTGTATTTATTTAGTACCAAGGTCCCCTGGAATGTCAGCACAACCATCTACTGTACTAGCCACTCCACCTAACTTTGTATTATCTGCAAACGTGCTAAGGGTGCCCTCTGTTCAAGCATCCAGATCACTAAAGAAAACATTGAAGAGTACTAGACCAAGCATTGCCTTCTGGGGGACACCTTTAGTTACTGGCCACCAACTGGGTTTTGTGCCAATGATCACAACACTCTCAGCTCAGCCTTTGATCCTGTTTTCAATCCGCCTCATACAGAATGAGTGAAAGAATTAAACCACATTTCTAGGATCCATAAACCACCAGAAGAAAAACAACAACAACCGCCAAACAAAAAATACACACAAATGTTTTAGAGTCACCAAGCCTTGCTCATATGATAACCAGTGCAAATTTCCAGCCTTTCATAGGCCTTTATGGGTCTTCTCATAAACAGCAAGTTAAACAATAGCTTTAGCAATATAAGAATATTGAGCTGTTCTCCTTGACTATTCAAATGTCCCCTAAACTTGAGATCAAGGCAGCAATAAATTCTTCACAGTGAAATGTCACTTTCCCAAAAGAACAAAAATAAACTGTGAATTTATCTATGAATGACATATCTATTACAAAGATTTACTGTCTATCTCTGCAAGACAGACAGGGCAAAGGTCTTACACAAGCAGGAACGGAAGACTCGGGTTATCTCAGGACACTGACAGAGAACTGTAAAATGCCTTTTATAGTTTGAGTTACTGTTTATTTGTGATTATACTGTTCAGAGGTTACTGATGTATTTTTATTGCTACACTGTATACTTTCTCTGTGTTCCTTCCCTTTGGACCAGTTAATTACATGCCTGTAGACATCTTCTGCTAGAGACACCAGTAATTTTCTCAGGATGACCATGCTTGTTCTCTGATTTTTGCCAAGCTCATCATCCACGAAGAAGCATGCAAGATAATCTGATTTCTGCCATAAGACAAATTCTTACTGACTGGAGTAAGACAACAACATTGTAGAGTTAGCTTCAAAAGCTTCAAGTGTGGGGGTTGGTTTGTTTAAGGGTTTGCAAAGTCTACCATACAAAGCTGATACATTTGTTAAACAGAAAACACAGGGGGATTGTTTAATTGGCATTGGCCACCTCAAAGAGTCCCCTGCTACTAACTTCATGCATTCTTTCAATGGAGAAATGAAACCACAGTTATCATATTTCCCTTAACTAAGAAATGCTTCCTTTGCTTTTCCTGGACTCATTCAAAACCAGCAGCAGCTTCTCTCCAAAGGCTGCCCCAGGGGAGCTGCATTTAAAAGCCACACTTTTTCCAGGAATTTCCCATGTGTTTCCACAGCTTTTCTGGATGTAACACACTCCTGCCACACACAGCATTTCACTACCTACCACTGCACTGTAAGAGGAGCATAACTGAATTCAAAACCTGTGCAATGATACAAGAATGGGAATGTAATTTATTGTGCTTTCCTTGACTACTCTGGCAAAACCTGTCCAAAGGCTAGCAGAGTTGAGAAATAATTCCCTGCTAGGTAAAATAACATCATACTCACTTGGACTGCAATACAGGCATCACCACACTGCTAATTCAGGGGAAGAAAAGCACATCTGTTGTCCCAGACTCTGCAACATTAAGCTTATAACCTCAACGAACCATCAGGGAAAAGAGACTACTGATTTTTGTACATCTCACTAGTTACGACTCAGCAAATGAACATCACAGTGTCAGCCAAATTAATGAAAAAAAATAATAGGACAGTCACAATTGTTCAATGCATTTTAATAATTAACTGAATTTCTTCAATAGAAGTTTAGAGCAAAATGAGAGAGGAAGAAAACACGCTTTTAGGAAGTGTTTTTTCCAGACCTATTAATGCATCCCATTGCATGGTTCTTTAGTACAAAATATCCATTTTCTAAACTAAGGATAAGAATCTGAGGTTCCCCTCCTTGCCCTTCCAGGAAGCAAGAATGCTCTTTACAGGGTTACAACCCCTCCACTTTATTTTTCTGATCATGTAAATCTTGCATGCATCAAAAGGACACAGAATAGCCCCATTCCAGTCTTGCCTGCAGACTCATGTTTATGGCATATTTTTTTAAAAATTAAGCTCTTGAGACTATATAAAATGACAACTCCTATCTTTCACTTCTTCAAAGGGACTTCTAATAACTGACATAAACAAAAAGTGGGAGCCACTACTGATCCTCTTCCCATTTTGAGCATAACTGAAAGCCACTGACATATTAAACACTGGAAGTTTATGGCAGATGAATCTGGTCTCTTCAGAAACTTCAGCAGGGCTTAAGGTTTAATTATCTCTAGTTTAAAGGGTTGCATAGGCTCTCAGCTTTCTAGGATGAGAGACTACACTTAGGAACCATGGAAACTCTGTTCTCCAAAATGAGAACAATGCTAAAACACAGTAATGTACAACAGTTCCAGTTCTTTTAGCTTCAGGTAAAGTGGAGAGGGCACCCATCCATGACAATACCTGGCTCCACCTGAACATAAGAATGCACTTTTTTATCTGCTGCAGCTGACCCTGCTTAAACAGGGAGCTTGGACTGGATGAGCTCACAAGATGTCTTCCAGCCTAAATCTGTGATTCAGAATACAGAAGGAAGCCATAAACATAAACTGAAACAATTTTTTAAATAAAAAAAAAAATCAACCGTGAAAGGGTTTAGGTACGCAGAAGAAAAACAGAAATTAAAGGCAGGAAATAACTCTTTTCCAGCTCCAATTAGTATGAAAGAGAATGAAAGGTAGAGCACAATGGTAGTGCAGTGCAGATAGTGTCAGAAGACATTTAGTAGCAACTAAGCAGCTACATTAAGGATGATTTCACCTATTGTCTGATCCATTTGTCTGTAGCTAACTACTGTCTTTGATGCTAAAGGATAAGATCACTGGGATCTTCATCTTTTATGATGCCCTTATATAACAGATCTTTAGCACACCCTGTCTGTAACCAGGCTAACGGGTGTTGCCACCATTAAAATCATTACAATAAAAATTACTTAAATGTAGCAGATGGAAAAAAAAAAGAGAGAAAAAGGATAAAAAAAACCCTCTCAAATGAGAACACTGTCTACAGCAATCAGATAACTGAAAGAGGAGCAGAGGGAACAGAAATAGGATAAACAAAGATAGAGCAATGCTTCTTCTCCAGTGTGGCAAAGTTTTCCCAAAATCCCAGTTGAAAATACAGACAAAGGATACAGAGAGTTCACAAGAGTCATGGTTATGGGAAATGGAGAAAGAAAACAATAAATTGAGGCTATTAACCACTTAATTGCTAGAGGTCTGCTAAATCTGCAGTTTCCTATCTATCAGTTTCCTAACCACGTACCATTTGATTTTCCTCCAAGGAACATAGGAAACCTTGAAATCACACAGTGGTTTTTGATAACATGAGAATAGACTGAAAAGCCCCAGGGTAACAAACTCACATGCTGTGGAGTGATGTCTGATACATTTAATTGCATTTGAGAGAAAGTTTGTTGTGACAGCTGTGGAGTAGGATGGCTGGAAGGCTAGGTGGACTTGCAAAATGAGGAGGAGATTTCTGCCTAAAAATAAAGTCATGGAGTTCTTCCATCACTTAGAAAGATAAAGGGGTGGGGGAGAAAGTTTTATGATCTTGAAGAGTGAAACAGAAAAGCAGACATTTCTCAAAGACTGCTTTTCCTCATCTGGAAGAACAT